ATCAGATGAGATTAGTTTCAATGAGCTGTTCACTGTAGTAATCTAAGTGAGTGAAGAGAGACAGTATAATATATAAGACAGAATTATAAAAGATGAAAGCTGCTGAATCTAGTCACTGAACACTGTATTATATAGAGATTGTATAAGAGTGATAACTAGCAGATAAAGAAAAAGTGTAAGAAAAGAAATAATGAATTGATCATTAATTATAAGAGTCAGCTGTAAAAGATAAATGTTATTATACACATTTCATTCATTTTCATACATCACATATTTAATCTATTTCTAATGTCATGCCACCTGAAAAACATTAAAAAACAAAGAAAATCTCAAAACTCAAGGTCTGCAAGGAATTCAAGGGCCGCAAGCTGCTCTTGTAATAATATTATGCATGTCTCTGATTTCTCTACTGCTCTGTATATGACATTAATGTCATTTATTGCAAGATTGACTGGAATGTTAATATAGAAATGTGCATGTGTACATGTAGAGAAATTAAAGAAGAGTGCAGAACTCACAGAATCAGAAGTCAGAACAGAGAGAGTAGAGATGAAAGAAATAGAAGAAGAAGAAAATACAGAACTGAATAAATAATAGCAGAAGTCACTCAGAGCTGAACACTTATAATCTGATATATGCACAACCTTCTCTGCAGAGAAGAAAGAGAAAGTAATGAGAGAAGCTTGAGAATAAGAGAAGATAGTCTCAGTGATGTTATTATCTTTGATCAGAATAATCTCTGACACTGAAGCAACTAAGAATTATTATTAGTATATAAAAATTGTAAAATCAGAGATGAGAACAGTTACTGAATAAACACTCACTGATCTTAGAGTTGTATATGTAATTACAACACACATGAGACTTCTCAGAAAGAGAGAGAGAAACATGAAGAAATACAGAAAGTAGAATACAGTGTGTGAATAACTCATTTTCATAATAATATCTCAGACAAGACATATAAGTCTCATGCCTGTAAGTGTAAAAGAGTATGATATCTGTATTCTTATTTCTGAAAACACAGATATTCTTCACCTGCATCATGAAGTCAGACAATAAATATCAAAGAATAGGCTGATACAGGTCAATTATTCTGAAGATATTCATTAAAGTAGATATACTTATAATATTAAATTTAACAGTTATGAAAAGTTTCTTGATATCTATGAATATTATGATTTCATGCACAGTAAAACTCATAACAATTTTCTCTAAGAATAGAAAAATCAGCATCAGAAAGAAAAGATGAAAAGAAAAAGACTTATAATCTTAACACTGTTAAGAAGAGAGATAATTCTCTGATATAAATGAATAATTTCTTCATCATAAATATTTAAAATGAATGTAATAATCAGTGTCTCTGACTGAGCTTTAGATAGTTATATTGTATACAGTCTTCATGCAATAAATTGTTCTAGAAGTCAGTAAGAAAGACAGAAGTGTACATGCTAATAAACATAATTTATTAAGTCTACACAACATCTTCTTGAAACAGGAAGAGCTGATAATGAAAGCAGAGATAGCAAAATCAGAAGTAGTGAGAGTGAGAGTCACAGAAACAGAGATAGCAGAAGTGAGAGAATCAGACACAGAGACAAGTGTAGAAGATTGAGAAGTAGCAGAGAAAGAGACAGAGAGAGAAGTAGCAGAGAAAGAAGTAGCAGAAGAGATAAGAGAGAATATAAGAGACTCAGTCATATATAATATAGATAATTTCTTTATTATCACATTCTTCAGATTCTTAATCAATGATTCAATATTGAGTTTACTATCATCAGCAGATACAGATCTGTCAACATGTGAAGATTCTATGTAAATAAAAACAAACATCAGCATCTGCATTTATATAAAATTATATCAGAAAACATGATCAGAAACCTGCTGAGAAGGAAATGATTGAGAGTGTATAAGAAGATAAAGAAGATATGTCATTCATAATAGTATATTCTAGCAATTATTAGAAGATAAACAAGTTCTGATTATGTTTCATAACATGTTACACTTACTGCTAATGAACTGCCTGATATAAGCACTATAAGAACACTTATTATGAGAATGAGAGATCATCACTAGAAACATGTACAATGTAATAGATAAACAGATAGAAGGTGTTGAACAGAAGAAGAAGTAGTAATCTGAGATGAGATGATGATGACATTCAATGATGACAATGATGAAGAAGATGATTGAAGAATGAGAAAAGTTAGTGAAGAAGTAATATAATATAGTGAAAGTTTCTTTGTAAGAGTGTACACAGAATACTAGCTGAATCAGAGATAGATCACATAATTATGAAACACTAATAGTAAGTTAATTCACATAAAGCTAGAATGTACAACATGATCATATGAGTGTGACTGAATCTGATGAGAGAGAATGTGATTTGAAAGAACATATAACTGTCAGATAATAACACGGCCGCTTCTGAACTACTAGCTTATGAGTGTAAAGAGGCCATAGCGGCTGCTAATTAATTTAGTGTACAATATTACAATATATAAGAAGCCGGCGTACGCCTGTAATCGTACACTGACTTAAGTAACCTTTGAATCACACTTCTGAGTATAGATTTTCATAGATGTGTGAGAAAAAGAATAAGAGAAATACATCTTTAGAAGTAACATGCTCAAATATGATCTGAATAAGTGCTGTAGATTTATAACTAGACTGTATAATCTGCTTTAAGTTATAATGCTGAATTAGGTATCTGAAAAGAGTTGTTACTGCTTAATATTATTGAGAAGTTAATGAAGACTGTTACAAGAAGTTCAATATCTTTTCTAAAGATGACTGATGTTGATACAAAGCCATGAATGATAAAATTAATAAAGAGAGTGTGATAGGCTCTGCGTGAAGTTGATTCATAAGTTAAATATTTAAGAAACTGAAAATGACTTAAATATTTATTTAGATAAGTGAAACTCTCTCGCAAGCTGTAGTAGAGTACTTTCAAAACTCAGCTCTTTATATCTTAAATAATTAATGATATTTCTCTTACTAGAACAATCATTTGAAGCCTTCTACAGCATACAGTTCTCATTTCAGAGTGAAGACTAGACTGATCACTGAGATTATAAATTTCACATTTGATCTCATTTAATCTGATCTTATACATTTCTTGATATGAATCTCACTGAGACTAATCATTAAATAAACATACAAAGTGACTATGTATCAGATCTCAAAATGAAATCATGACTTGAAAAAAATGAGAAAGTAGTTTCATTTGATCTCATTTAGTCTCATTCTTAATATAAAGTTACTATTTTTAGACATTTTAAGGTTTTTTTTAGACTATTTTTAATTTTTTAAAAAGTAACACTTTTTAATAATACTTAAATGAGATTTAAAGTCATTTAAAGCAATAAAAATAATTTAAATTAAGAAGTGAAAATCATAATCTCATTTGAAAAATGTAATAAGAGTAGACAGTAAGTCTCACTGAGACAGTATGAAACTACTATCTAATGTTAGAACTGTGTAATGAAATCTGTTAAATTGATAATAAGACTATCAAAAATTCTGATTCTGATTAGACTGACTGTGTGATCATGTCTGAGACTAGAATCAGATTTTTTGATAGTCTCATTATCAATTCAACTGATTTCATTACATGGTTTTAACATTAGATAGTAGTCTTATACTGTCTCAGTGAGACTTACTGTCTACTCTTATTACATTTTTCAAATGAGATCATGATTTTCACTTCTCAATTTAAATTATTTTTATTGCTTTAAATGACTTTAAATCTCATTTAAGTGTTATCAAAAAGCATTACTTTTTAAAAAATTAAAAATAGTCTAAAAAAAACTTTAAAATGTCTAAAAATAGTAACTTTATATCAAGAATGAGACTAAATGAAATCAAATGAGATCACTTTCTCATTTTTTTCAAGTCATGATCTCATTTTAAAATCTGATATATAGTCACTTTGCATGTTTTTTTGATAGCCAGTCTCAGCAGAATTCATGCCAAGAAATGTATGAGATCAGATCAAATGAGATCAAATGTGAAATTCATGATCTCAGCGGCCAGTCTAGTCCTGGTTTCAGACACGGTCACACGGTCAGTCTAGTGAAGACAATAAGCACTTATAAGTTCTTGAAATCTCTGTTGACTCTGGTAAACCGGACATAAGATCAATCACAAAATATGAGAAGTCACTCTGTTATTTCATTCACGCAATTTCAGTATGAGCTCTGAGAGAATGCTGAATGAAGAGAGCTGAAGAGAGAGAGTTAAACAATTACAGTACTGAATTCAAATGTTCAGATGAAGAATCGTCTTCTCATTCTCAACATAAATACTGATTATTATGAAATACCCGACTCTTACAGCAAATTAAATAAATATTACAAAATCACTACATCTGTGTATTTATGAGAAACTATGAAAGAGAAGGTTGTCAGAGATTTGAGTGTGAGATCATTTACTTAAAATCAATCTTTTATATTTGTATATAGAATATTCATCTGTATATAAAGTTTTTCTCTTAATATACAGAGTAAGTATCAATCAGATACTCTTTCACTCATCACTCTTTAATATACTTTTACTCTAGAGTGTGTGTAGAATCACTCTAGTATAATAACTATAAATTACTTTATAAACAGAATTATCACATCTCTGAGAAGCTTGCACTTCTCACTAGTTTTAAATATACTATCAGATGTGATTCAAAGATGTCTGAGTTAGTGTAATAATAATATGAGTGTATACTGATTCTTTATAAGAAAATAATTAGTGAAGCACTGAAGCTACATTTATAAGTGTATTTAGAAGCAGCTATATTATTAATCAGTGACTGAATATTCTTTCAAATCACTCTCAAGCGGTAATAAGAAATTGACTTGATTCAAAGCTGATTGAAGATGAAGAGATAAAAGAAATTGAAATAGTGTCTGTTTAAACAGCTATTAATACTGTTTTTAAGTTTTTCTTTATTAGTTTATAATTGAAGAAGAAGAAGAATATAACTTCTCACTATTCAGTTTAATTACACTTTTGAAGATTAATACTCTGTAAATAAGAAAAAAAAAAGAGATATTAGAATGACAGACTGAATATAAGATCTTCCTGTGCAGATAATATTGAATAGAGTGAGTAAATGAGTCTTTTAAACAAGATTATACAGACTTGTATGTGCAATCAAACACACCCTGATCTGCAGATTACAAACAGCAGAAGTTCACACAGTAAGACTTGGAGTGTATCACCACTTTGTGATTTATGATTTTGTAACAAAGAGGCTTGAAGATGGGTGAACAAAAAAAGGAAATTTCCTTTTCTCAGGGATTGATTTAGCCCAGGCGGGTGAGTTTAGGCACAACAGACTCTGAAAACGGCCTCTGGAACATCATATGACAACATTCCCAACACTCGTCAAATGAGCTGTTGCACGTATCCTGTATGGGGGGAATTTGTGTCCCTCAGCGCGGAAAATGAAGCAACGGCAGAGCTGAATCGTAGAGACGAATGGAAAGGCTTCTAGAGATTGTAATCTTAATTCGCTTGTGGTACCCAACCAACAGACTTGTTCTATATGTATGTGTTATGAATATTTCTTTTCCTTCTTGAGAAGCCAAAGCTCAATGACCGAATAGAAGGAAGTAGAAGTACAAAAAATCCATGAAAAAATAAATGGAAGGTATATACACCAGTCGAGCTTTTTTAGATCTATCAGTCTCTTTAGGGAATGATGTCAACATTGGAAGGCCTTCTGCTCATCTATCCATGGATGCCCCCTAAAACAGTGAAGAAAACGCCGTGCGATTGCTATGGTTTATAGCCGTCGTGGAGCCGGCGGATGATGTATTGTCAACGCCCGCTCCAATCGAGGAAAAATAACCCCGAGGATAGGTCTCAGAGCGTGCTCTGCGCTCGATGAGTCAAGGGTGCTTGAAATTGTCCCGGTAACTTTGTTGCCACACCTTCCCTACGCTGGTATTGTCCTCAACATCCTCATCAACTCGCACGTCCTTCCGCACCTGAATTACCATGGCAGGTAAATCACCGTCCTTGCTGCTGTCCACAATTCTCTCCATGCTGTCAGAGTCGACGGTGGTGGGCTTCATGTCCCTCGAGTAAAAGGATCGGCTGTTCCGTTTGTTCGATCGATCGCTCGCGAATTTTCCAGACAGTTCAACGGAGCTCCCGGTTTCATAGCCAGAGGGTTTACTACCATTCTTGTAGCCACCGAGCCATATCTTTCTGCTAAAAAGTGGCCGAATGATGGGCGCATTTCCGATGAATACAGCCACCAGGTCTTCTCTGCATGACCAGATGGCTGCAGTTGGTCCGGTTTTTAACTGTTACGTTTTCATGTTAGGAACCCGACGAAAAACGGCATTTTGACGACACATAATTATACGTACAGCGATCACAAAGTAAACACGAAGGCAGGCAGCAATCATGATAAAGATAGTAGCTCCGAACAGGATAAAAATACCGATTCTCCGGCCGAGGGAGACCCGCATTTTGGCGAGAACCTAAGTCCAACAAGGAACAATTGAGTAAACAAAGCATATAGATTAGGGGGCCACATGGCTCAGAGGAGATGATTACCGGTAAGGGAATGGCCATGATCATCATATCGGTCAACACGTTCATTATGAGAATAGGAATTAAGAAGGCTAGACTTTGAGGTGTGCAGAGTGCTTAAGGATATAATGCTAATCAGTATGCGTTTCGTCTCCGTGTTGGATATGGGTAACTCACGACCAGGGTCCGGGTAAACTTGAAACAGCTTGTGGAAAGGGCGGCATGTAAATCCTAATAGGAGCAGGATCGATGCGCCCGTGGCTCCTACAATGAGCTGGGCGGGGAGGATGAACCTTTCAACCCAAAGACCATTGACCACGCGCTTGTAAAAGAAAAGCATGTTCATTTTCAATGTCCAGATAAGGCCAATGTATGTGTACCAGCCCGTCATGAAACATTTTGAGCCAAGGGATCGAAGCGCTTTCTCCTCTTCAGACATTGCGGCTCTCTGCGCTGCGGGTATATTACCATTGTCTCCAGCATACCCTACAATATGAGCCATTGCTGTCATGCCAGCATAGGAGAACTATTGTAGATTCGTCAGCGAACCGCCGTTCGAATGCATCTTTAAAGCTCGAAGAATCACTGACCCAAGCAGGAATAATCAAATAGTCGTCGGGCTTGAGGCCACGGAAGCCAACCAGCTTCAATCTGGTGAAGATACGTAGGAGGATAATACAAGAGCCTGCGGAAAATTCTGCCCAAGTTTCGATTAGCGGACTCGGGGCGCTCAGGGAGCCTCCCATGATGGGCAAAATTCACAAGGCTAGGGGATCTCAGAAAAAGTGTGATTTAAACTTGATGATTAACAAAAAAGAGAGTAAAAAAGGTTCGTAAAAGATTGTGAAGAAATGAAAAGAATGTAGAAGGCAGATGCGAATGTGAGATTCACGGCGATATATAAAATATGTTGTTTGAGGCTATTATAGAACGAGCGATGAACAGTAACGTCTGTCCTGTGTTGGATGTTCTCCCGTTTTCAGGGATGTTCAACCTTAGAAGGCAGAGAGAGCTGTGAGTCGGAATAGCAATTTCATTCCCCAGAACAAATTATATTCCTCACTAGATATTTTCTAATCGCTTTATGGACTAGGCTTCCAGAATCAAAGGACGATGTCCAGTCAACTGGAGAATTTCTTTCCTCGCAGATCCTTCTATCAAACTGTCGAAAAGAGTACGCATACAGGTTGCAGCCGGAGGAGAGCATGGGGATGTCCAAGAACCTAGCGGCCCAGGGTAGTGGCAAGCGGGAACCGAGGCGGCCGCCAAAAAAATTATAACCTGGGCGAAGCCCAACCAAGCGCAGCGTATCACGTTTGGGAAAAGCGGAAAGTTCTCTGGCCCTTGCGGATCATCAAACTATTTTCCTGTCAGTATCGAGGAGAGAAGCGCTGGACCCCCGTTTTCGGGATTTGGTTTGCGGGAAAGTACTAAGGCGTTCATTTGCTGGACCTGAAGGCTGTGGGTTTGACCAGCGAATAGCATGATGGCCTCTTTACCCCGTTAACTTAGTTGTGACTCTTTCTAAACCCGTGCATACCAAACGTCTCGCTGCCATAAAATATTGCATGGCGCATGCCTTGGTTCTTCACAAGAACAAGAACCCGCTTCTAGAGAGCAGGACATGACTCCAAGCTCCAACATAATCAATAACCTTTCATGTTCAGACGATTGGGCCGGAAGAGAGCACCGAACGGGGCGTGATACCCAACGCTCGGACCCTTTATCCTTTCGCCATGAACAAGCGTCTCGTGTTTCAAGAACCATCTGTCGGCTCCGAGATATGGAAAGTTCACTAGCCAAGCATGGACCGCAAGCGAACGTTTGCCCTAACGGCTGAACCTGCTTTTACGCTCTGACAGGCGAATAATGAGAAAGGAGAGGTCTCGTTCTGTTATCAGCCAACTTGTCAGGGTCTTGAAAGGGTTAGGGACAGAGGAGGACTGAGATTTCGGATCCCGCTGTTGACCGGTCATGTTCACGAGCCCCCCCAGGGGTTACTAGCCTCGGAGCTAATTTAGCTTAGTCACCAACTTTCAAACCGCCAGCTGGTTCGAGACAAATTGAAGGGCCTTGGAAACTCGAAGCTAGTGGCCAGATCAGCAGTTAGTTACCTGTCACATTCCGGCTGGAGTCTCGCGACCCACCAAGGGCGAAGCGGGAGCCAGTAGACTGCTGCTGACGATTATTTTAGGATTATTTTGGGTAAACGCGGGACCCTTGGGGAACCGGGAAAGCGGCCCGAACGGCCAGCTAAATCCGAAGCTGTGATCGGCAACGTGCCGCCATTTTTAGCGTCCGCCTTCAAAAAAATACTCAAGCCGCGCACGATGACAAGGTACTCTCCGAACCCTTGTGACGGCAGATTGATGAAATTGCATGGGACCCCTTTGCGTTTCCGTCGTCCTTGGGGAGGACGACTCAAATGCTCATCAACTGGCCAAGGTCCCGAAGAACCGCACTGCTCATTGCACCCTGGCCCCTAGGAGGGAGCGTCCCAGACGTCCTGAGCCTTACGAACGCCCCTGAAACTTGGGCCAGTCTTAAGCTGGTGGTATTTTTTGTGCTAATCCCGCCAAGAATGAGGTCCGAGACAAGCATTAAATTGGCTCTGGCAGCTCCTGTGCGGAGTGAGTGTACCGTTCTACTTCATTCATTCTCTTTTTGGAAGGCAACATTGAAGGAGAGAGGCGCCCACTTTTAATAATCCTGGGCATGTATTTCTGGCATGTTCCTAGAACATTCCTGGGGGGCGATATTCATGATATTTTCATGGTATCAAGAGAGAATGAGCGTTTGCAAAAGGGACCGCTGCGAGGAGGTAGCTCGTATAATTGTAGGAGCTTGCCGACTAGCACATCCTTGATGAAAAATCGAGCTTATGGTGCAAAGACGATCCAAGATGACCACAATTTACCCCTCACCTGCGTGGATGGGCCGTTGAAACCGACCGCCGACTTGAGAGCCGAAATTCAAAGAGCGTCCAATCAAAACAGTTTCCCAAAAGAGGAGAAGAACGAAAGACCAACGTATAGGCCAGCTAACTTTCAAATAATCTCTCTACCAATCATGCGCGCTATGGCGGACCATCCATGCGGGACCAAGGATTGCGGGGTTTCTTTCCCATGACCCCAACAGATGAAATTGGTGACGATTCGAAATTTATAAAAGCCATCCTCCCCTCAGTTTTCAGTTTCTTCAAGGATTGTCGATTTTCAAGATTGTAATCACCTAGAATCTGCCACCACAATCTCCAAACACCATGACCGAACTCGACGCCCTTATTGTCGGAGCCGGTTTCGGCGGAGTGTATCAACTGTGGAAGTTGAGGAATGAAGGATATCAGACCAAACTCGTTGAATCCGGGTCTGATTTTGGAGGTGTTTGGTACTGGAATTGCTATCCTGGAGCAAGAGTGGACTCTGATATCCCACACTATGAGTTTTCGATGCCTGAGATCTGGAAGGAATGGACTTGGTCCGAACGTTTCCCTGGAGGGCCGGAACTTCGAAAGTACTTTGCACATGTGGACCAAAAGCTTGACCTTCGCAAAGACTGCCTCTTCGACACCACAATCGCTTCCGCCATCTTCAATGATAATGACAAGAAATGGCACGTTACAACTCAAGGCTCTGAAACTTTTAAGGCCAAGTTCCTCTTGCTCAATACTGGCTTTGCATCGAAACGATACACACCAGACCTGAAAGGTCTGGATACTTTCCAGGGCCAATGGCTGCATTCCTCTTTCTGGCCCCAGGAAGGTTTGGATATGACCGGCAAGCAGGTAATAATCATGGGAACCGGTTCGACCGGAGTGCAAATCACCCAGGAAGCCGCAAAGGTTGCAAAGGAGGTCACGGTACTGCAACGAACCCCAAATCTTGCTCTTCCGATGGCGCAAAAGAAATACACCAACGGAGAACAGAAACAACCCCGAGATCAGTATCCAGACCTTTTCAAAATACGACCGACAACCTTCGGAGGGTTCATGTGGGACTTCAAGGGAAGGAACACATTCGATGATTCCCCTGAAAAGCGCCGCGAGTTCTATGAAGAGCTCTGGAAGCAAGGCGACTTTAGCTTCTGGCTCGCAACCTATCAGGACATGCTTTTCGTCAAAGAATCCAACGAAGAGGCCTATAACTTCTGGAGGGAGAAGACCCGCCAGCGTATCAAGGATCCCAGGAAACGAGACATTCTTGCACCCATGATCCAGCCCCACGCATTTGGATGCAAGCGCGTCTCCCTGGAACAGGACTATTACGACGTATTCAACCAAGACAACGTCGATGTGTTAGATATTAAAACGCATCCTCTTGTAGAAGTCACTTCAAAGGGCATTAAAACCACAGAGAAAGAGGTTGAGGCTGACCTCCTGATCCTCGCGACGGGCTTCGATTCCTGCACGGGTGGCATGAAACAGATCGATATCCGCGGACCCTCCGGTATTTCCCTCACTGACAAGTGGGTTAATGGCTCCCTCACCTATTTGGGAATGTCTGTCTCTGGCTTCCCCAACATGTTCTTCACCTATGGTCCCCAGGCGCCCACTGCGCTCTGCAACGGCCCGACTTGTGCGGAGCTGCAGGGCAATTGGATTGCCGACTGCATGAATTATATGCGGGAGAAGAACCTTTCGACCATCGATGCAACACTCGAGGCGGAAGCAGCTTGGAAACAGGATGTCCACGACTTTGCGCATGCTAGTTTGCTTCCTACCGCTAAATCGGTAAGTTTATCCATGTTGATATTGCCCGTTTCCTGTTTTCCCACTCTTCTCTGCGCAAACCTCTTCCCCCAAAGCCCAGGGTGATTCCTCGTATGCTAACACTCAAGCCAGTGGTACATGGGAGACAACATTCCAGGAAAGCCACGAGAGTCATTGAACTATCTCGGGGGTGTTCCGCGGTACATGAAGACCTGTAGAACCTGCGCTGAGAAAGGTTATGAAGGCTTCGTGTTGGCGTGAGAGTCGTGCTTGCGCTCTTATACCTAGCTGCCAGGAGCTAGGTTCAACTGGAAAATAAGCTGGGTGTATCTAACAGAGGAACATCGCAAGGAGCATGGTGTCCTCTCTCAATTTTCTCTTGCAGTCAATCCTTTTGATTTTTAGCATTGTGGCCAACAATTGAACTGGTGTACTGAAGGTTGTTGGTCTGTGCGTCGATGGCTTGTTCCCCAGAAAGGGTTTAGTTTATTTTTTTTTTTTTTATTTTTTTTTTTCAATCTATCAAACGTTCCATCCCATCGTTGTTGCTCTGAGCATTAATTAATTTACATATTTTATTGGTTTTATGACATGCACTATTCAGTTGAAAATCATTGGTCCCCTGGTATACAGTCCCTCTTTGAGTATAGAATTGTATTTGTAAATGCTGGTTAATAGCGGATTGAAAGTACAGATCGCGTAAAGGCATGGTATCTTCAGGGTAGATATAGGATATTTTCCCGCAAATTTTCAACAAATATAAAATGCAGTAAACAATGTTGTGATTGTAATAGTCCCATCTTGCAATAGCAAAAGCACCGAAAGTCAACACCCAGAAAACCATGACAAACTCCTCCATTCCAATGAGGAAGCACGAAAAGCAAATAAGCCCGCGCATACAAATGAAAAAGACACCCAGTCCAGGACAAGGAAAGCAGAAAACAAGCCTCATGGAGAAAGAGATCCAATCATCTCTTCCCCCGATACCGCCCTCTACCAAACCGTCCATCCCGACCACGATTCTCCCTCCTCCATTCCCTCTCCCTCTCTTCCTCCTTCTCCTGCTCCTCTCTGATCCGCGCCCTCTCCCGCTCCAAATCCGCTTCCGTCTTCGCTACCTTAACCATCGGCTTTGGCAAATTCTCCGGCCAACGCGGATGCGCACCTTCAAGACACGCTCGTCCCTCTGGGCAAAACCCGGCCAAATAAAACCGACATATCTTTTTACGCACATGTTTCTTCGCGCACAGCGGACCTAGATGGCAGAATCCCCTCTCGTAGTGTTCGCAAGGCGGTATCTTAGCGTCTTCGGGGACGTGTTGGTATAGACATTCATCGCCATTGGGGCAGTACCCGGTCCGCGCAAAATTCTGGCACTCGGGCATTCGCCGTAGGTTATATTCATGCAGGTACTCGCACTTGATCCCCTTTTTGCACAGGCCTTTGAGAAAGTGCTTGCAGACGAGGGTGCCATGCGTTGAGGACGGGGCAATCGCGGGGGATGTGGCAGAGGAGAGTCGGGACGGGGTAGGGTGTCTGTCCGGACATGTTGGGCCTAAGGGGCAGTGGCCTTCTCGATACGCTTTGCACACTGGTACGTCTGAAGCGAGTCCAAAGCCGAAGGTTTTTGTGAGAAATGGGCTAAAGGAGAAATTGAAGTTAGGGTCACGAGGGGCGTCTGGCGAGACGATTCGGTCTGCGATTCCTTGTACGTCCGCAGACATGGCGGGAAAGGTAACTAAGTTCTCTTCCGGACCGGGGAAAATATATGTGTGGTTTAGTAAAGAGAGGGCAAATCCGGTAACAGAGTAACCGCAAATCCCGGTAACAGAGTAAACCTGGACGCAGCTGTCTCGTCCTGTCTCGTACCGTTCTCACTAACTGCAAAATCGATGTGAGGCGGCTAGAGAGGGCACAATTGGAGGGAAGACCCTAGCGGGCGAGACGGTAGCTGTAGGGAGATGTGACGTTCGAAAATCGAGAAGCTGCTTGAGAAACAGTCAAGCCAATAAATAGCAGCAATATGAGAAGTGGTAATCCGTAGGGATCTTGGAAAAGTATCGTCAGCGTGTCATGGGTAGAAGCCGCATGTTGACGTTGTTTGGTTGCTCTCACGCCCGGCGGTTTGTCTGGCTGCGCCAAAGCCACACAACAAGCTTCGGCGCACAGTATTTAACTAGTGGATCGGATAGTTTACCACTCCCATTTCTCAACATCCCTACTGGCTATTTCCCATAGACAGTTGAATAACGATCTGTTGTTCTAATGGTCCTATGCGTGTGGACTATGGAAGAACTGGAATAGGGATATTTGCTGGCTCCAGAGGCCCGGATATTTGTGCGACCTTTTATACTCTACAGAATACATTGCTGCTGGATAGATGCTCCACGCCGGTATATCTAGTTGCATTTCGGAACTACTCCGTATATGTCTCTGGGCTATCCCAAGGAAACCTCTTCCAGCTTGGCTGTGGCCCAGACCAAATCGATCCCGAGAACAAAGCACAACAATTCAAGGATCAACCAGAGGGGGCTAAGGTAGATAGAATGATCTTCCCCTCATGCGTGGTCCTCGATTCATTCCACCACTTTTAAATAAAAGAACAAACAAAAAGGGCACAATCGCAACAGAATCAGACCAAGGTGCTTCGTATTGGGATATTTTCCTATCCCCAGAACAATGTTTACAGAGGGGGATCCTACCTATACCACCCTTCACTCAGAGAATCCGACACGCTCAGAATGCTAGGCTACAGGCATTCCAACATAGCAGAATACAATAATGATATCATTTTAGTATGGCGGCATGTATGTACATGTACATGTACGTGTTCATTTGCACCCTCTTATGGCCAGATATCAAGCTTCTGCGATCTTGTATCTACATCAAATCGCAAGCCGGCCTACACTGATCCTGCCAGCGCGGGACATGTAAATAAATATGGGAATTGCTTGTTCCGTCCCCAGTCGAGTCGTCTGAAGAACTATCCTAGCGTCGATCTAGAATAGCTCTCCAGCTCGACTGCGCAGCCAGGCCAGACCACATTATCCCGCACCAAAGGCTCGCATGGATGGCGGGATCAGAGCTATGATTTTTAATACACAGTCTCTAATATCATGAAAATAGAGTTCTTCTGTGAAATCTGTTTTTATCAGAAGTCAGTGAATCTTATATTTTTCAAAGGTTATCTTTATTTATTTTTATCTATGAAATTAATGAGAAAAATTATTGATTTCAATGTTCTTCTCTCAATATTATTCAAGTGATAGCTGCTCTCCCAACTATTTCATTCTGCGTGAACTTGAGTTTGTTAAAACAAAAAGAAAATACTGCTGCTCCTGGGACGAGGCCCCTGGAGGCTAGGCAGCTAGTTAATAATTAGCAGGACTAAAAAAAGCAACAAAAAGGCTCTGGCAAAGCTCATTAAACTCCCAAGCTTGCTCTTCAATAATATATTATTCATGTATGTTGCTTCCTATCCTTCCTGCACAGAGTAAATCGAGAAGAAAAAGAAAAAGAAAGATAGAAAACACAGACATCTGTTTGATGTCTCTCTGTTCAAACACACAGCACTCAGGAGCTTTTTAAAAGCGCCGGGTTTGTGATCACTGAGAAGAAATACTACATGTACTCTTTTTAGTATCTCAGAAAAACATTAGGCCTCACCTTCTTTGCACTCAAATGAGGCCTCTTCTTCACTAGTTTCTACCCCGGGATCTACTATTTATTCACTCTTGATCCACATAGTTTATTCATAAGGCGTCTAAAAACCCCCTCCGTCATATATATGTAATTCCATCGCTGCTGTTGGTAGAGGTTCTTGCAGAGGAAAATGGAAAGGAAAAGTTAAATAGTTAATCCCCAGGATTTCCATGCTAGTGCGATAATCGCCACTACTACGGCAGATACCCGCTTCCCTAAAATTTTCCTACCCTGGGGTAAAATAAAAAAAAATAACCCAAGAGGCGAATGGGAGTTGTGTCGCCGATGCGCTGAGAGCTCGCATCGTGACTTTGAGGAAGAAAGCGGGAAGGTTTGGCCCTGCTTTCTATCTGTGTTGGGATAATTCCAAACCTCCAGCATAATGAAAACGGATTCAGCCCTTTCAGTTTTCATTCTGGTCCTTTCAACCCTCGTTTTCTTCCGCAGGGCCTGAAACTGGCGGGACTAGGTGTTCCTTGACCTCGTTCTCTGCATATATATATATTCCTATAACTATATCCAGGTATCCATACCCAGCTGCAACCGCCTAGCGATTTTCTCATTCTCGAACCTCCAGTACCAAACAGCCCAAGACTCTCTAGAACAACCCCTTTGTCTTGTCGAATCACTGCTTTCTCCTATCTTAGTGATAGAGATTTTGTTTTCTAGAACGGACTAGGCACCCAGTCAGGGCCCTGAATCGCCTTTGCTCCGCTTGATCGCTCCTGATGTACCCCTCTATGGGACCTCCCTCCGGAGTTCTAGGTTTCATGAACCTTCCGACCAGGACCTCATGCAGGGAGCTTCCCCTGGAATGCCGATGCACTGGAATGCGGTGTACTATGCCAATTGGCGGGCCAATAACATACCGCCTCCCTCAGCGTTGAATCTAGGTTATATATCCCATATATTCTACGCTTTTGCTTGGTATGAATGGAATAAGGGGAGAATTTACCCCCCCCCCCCAAAACTCCTTCCCCCCTTGCTTCACAGGCCCAAATTAAGGCAATACAAGACAGACAGCTTACTGGAATGGAGTTGGTAGGGTGAAAGAGGACGGTAACGTCTCTGTTCGTGTTCCCCCCCCCCCCCCCCCCCGGACAACAACCCCGTGGGGTCATTGATACATGTATATCCTTGTTTTAAAAAGGCAGACATAACTGACGATTTCTCCAGCTTAGCAACGAATGGGTGGACGAATACCAGCCAGTCGATGGCACTCAGGGATATCTTCGGGCACTCGTCCAGCGGAAACACGACAGCCAGGTAAAAGTGCTCCTTTCGATCGGGGGCGGGGGCATAGGCAGCAAGAATTTCGCAGAGGTCGCTGGGAACCCAGCAGCAGTTGAGAGATTTCTATCAAGCGCCACAGAGCTGGCGAATAAATTTAACCTTGATGGGTTTGATAGTACGGAAAACCCTTCCCGATAGGCTGCCCCAACCCCGAGGATGGTTTCAGTTCATATGGGTGACAAGCAAAGACAATATTCCGCTAACAAGTATAAAAAAAAAAAAAAACAAAACAAAACAGTAAACTGGGAACACCCCGAAACCCTCGAACAGGGCTACGACTACAACACCCTCCTGTACCGCATGCGCGAAAAATTCCCAAGCCCAACCTACCTCCTCACCACCGCCCTCTCAGCCGGCCAATGGGTCCTCAACAAAATAAACCTTGTCGAAGCCCACCTCTATGTCGACCTCATCAATCTCATGACATACGACTTCTCCGGCCCCTGGATGCCTCACAGCGGGCACCACGCTCAACTCTACGCACCACCACCGCCACCGCAACCGGCGCCATCAGGAGTGCCAGGCCCGCCGCAAACTGCGGCGGCGACGAATAGTACATGTACCATGTCGTGCTCCTCAGGGGTCGCCTATCTGTTAAGCTGGGGCGTGCCCGCCGATAAAATCCTCCTAGGCATTCCCGCGTACGGTCGTGCGTTCCCGGGGGCGTATGGGATTAATCAGCCGTACGATAGAGGGGGCGAGGAGAAGGTGTTTGATTACCGTGAGTTACCGCTGCCCGGGACAGAGGAGGTGCACGATGACGTGGTTGGTGCGGCTTATTGTGTTGATGTCGGCGGTGGGGGAGGAGGAGGTGGTGGTGGTGGAGGGGGGGGAGGGGCCGGGTTCATTTCGTACGATTCGCCGCGGACAGTAACGCAAAAGGCACATTTTGTATCGGAGTTTGGCCTGGGGGGGCTTTTCTATTGGCATATCGCGACGGATGCGGGTGTGGAGACGAGGAGGAGTCTGGTGGCCACTGGGTATTGTGCGCTGCATCCGTGGATGATTTCTACGTCGAATGAGAGGAGGTGGGGGAGAGAAAGATGATGATGTTGATGATGATAGTTTCGGGCGTTTGGGTGGGATTCATAATAATGGAATGACTTTAATCAGAAGAAAGGCATACATGCATCACTCTCATTTACCCCCTTTTTCCCCTCCCTTCAATTCTATTGTTGTCTCCCCGGCGGGTTGTATTACGCCATTTCTCATTAAAAAAAAAAAAAAAAAAAAAAAAAAAAAAAAAAAAAAAGAAAAGAAAGACATTTTTATTATCCCCTATTTTTAATATTAACCATCACCCCCCGGGGAAAAGAGTAAATTGGAAATACCTATATAAGACGCAGCTCTTTATCATTGTTGACGATGCTCTGGCGTCGGGCAAGGTAACAACGTAAGTATCGCTCGAAATTCGAAATAGGCGAGACAGAAGGGGCATGGTAGTAAATGTATAGCTTGCTGTCTTACTATTCCGTACTTGTTCTATGATATGCAGACAGGTAGATGCATGAATTTTTCCGGGTCAGGGGAGGGGAGGGAGGGGAGGGGGGAGGATATAGATTTTTCTAAACGTTATGTGAAAAGGCAGGGGGCTTCCAGCTAGGGGGGGGGGGGAGGAGGAGGGGAAGAGAAGAGGGGGTTCACATATAACGACCACATCTACGTCCAACAATCATAGAAGAAGAAGAAGCAGAAAATAAATAAATTAGAAACCCCCGAATCAAAAAGAGATAAGAGATAGGTGTGTAGAAAGAATTTTTTTAAGTCGAGCGAGGTGATTAATAAATCGTTCGTAGGAACCACTAAATTAATTACATACATAACTACGGATTATGGCGGCACATGCTCCTTGACATAATAGATAAAACAAAACAAACAAGGTATCATTTTCGGACATCGGAAATAAAATAATCGTATATACTAGCGGGGTGGATGATATTATAGCCACAAAGGATATATACATATATATATAGATATATATATATATGAATAATAGAGACAAAAAAGCGGCAGCGAAGCAAAAGAACATATATATACCCACAGACACGTCGCCGGCGGAAAAACGAAGACAACGACGAGTGTGCGTGTACGTATGTACAGTACATGTACGCTGGACGTTACGTCATAGTAAAGGCCGCCCGCGCTATCATTACCTCCAACTACCACATTAAAAAGAAATCGAAAAAAAAAGAAAAGAAAAGAAAATTGTAAAAAAAATTACTTCACGTCACACCCAAAACCTCTCCATCACCCTTATTTATTTCCCACCAAGCCCCAACAACGGTGCCAAATCCAACTCAATATGCAGCGTATTCGACGACAGCGCAGCGGTGAAATACGGCAACTCCTTGCCGTCATACACGGCCGATTTGCCCACGATGGTCACGGGGATGACGCCGTTCTTGTACTTGGCGTCGTCGCCGTTGACGAAGGGGAAGATCTTGGTGAGTTCGACGGTCGAACGCATTTGGACGAGGTTGTCGCCGGGGCGGATGACGAGGCCGGGAAGCTTGGCGGTGCCGATTTTGGTGCCGTCGACGGAGAGTTCGAGGGTTACGTCTCCCTGATAGCCCGGGGAAGATTAGAAGGTGGTATTTTTTGGGGGTTGGGGGGGGGGGGGGGAGTGACCTGATAACTTACCAAGGTGAGGGTTAGGACGCTGGGGTTTGGGATGAAGACTTCACCAATCATGTTGCTTCCGTCGGGTTGCTTGGAGGCGAGTTCGAAGTGTTTCACTTCGAAGCCCTTGAGTGCATTGAGGCCTGTTTTTGAAAGTGCGATTCCGTTGTCAGCAAATGCATTTTCTTATACAATGGCAACACCACCAACAACAATAATAAAACAGAAACATACCCTTCATGGTAATAACCTTGTGGTAATCCACCGTCGTCTTCGGCAGAGAACCCTCCTTCAAGCCTGTCCTGCCTGTGATCTCAAGATCAACGGTCTCGGACTTCATAACCTGGATGGAGTAGTCCGTGAAGGACTCCAGATCAGGCATGACGATCTGGTCAATCACGGCATTGGCGCCATCGGAGGCCTTGACAGGGGGGACTTCGAGGGTGATGAAGGGCTTCCCGCTGCCAGCAGTGGCGATGGTGGCGTTGAAGGCGTCGAGTTGGGGGTGGAACTTGGACTTAGAGCCGATGGTCTGGTCAACTTTGATGCGGAAGGAATCTGGGGTCGGGTCGGTGATTTCCATGGAGTTGATGGTGAGGGTGGATCTGTTCACTTCGCGTTGGGCGATGTTGGGGTAGCCGACGTAGATGCTGTTGTTTTTGAGGTCAGCGTTGATGCTTAGTTATGTCATTCTCGAAAACGGTTCCTTGCACCATTCTGCGGGATATGTAACAAGATGTTCCCATAAGGATGTGTATATGGACTGTTCATTTATGGAGCACATATACGCATGCTAGACCCCGTCTAACAAGCATATATCTCAAACACCAAAATGAAGACAAGCTGCATCACCGCGCCACCAAAGGGGGAGTATGAGTGGCAATACGGAATCAAAAAACGTAGACAGAACGGCAAGGACTCACACAGGCAAGATGATAACGAGCACAACTGCAATGAAAATGCCCAGATATAGCCACCAAAACCTCTTGAAACTAGCCTTGACGCGGGCACCAAAGCTAGGCTTAGGGGCCATGTCGTTGGGGCCAGCCTCAACCTTGTCCGACATCTTTTGGGATATGTATGGCCTTAAGGGGTGTGGTTTGGTTTAGGAGAAATGTGTTGTTGGCGGTGTCCCCGGAAGCTTTTATTCCCTTCATTAGTCGGTATCACCTTTTGAAAAAAAAAAAAAAAAAAAAAAAAAAAACAACAGAAAATACGCATATTCTATGCGATCTAAATGTGCCAAAATCAGGAAGGGGCTTGAGAAGGACTGTGCAAAAATGTGGAGAATAACAACGGGTGTCACATCCAACGGATGCACATGCACATTACATTCCCAAGCAAGGACAGCAAGAATCGCATTTCTGCAGTGTAAAGATGTATATAATCTTCTGCAACATGCATGCTACAGAGAGAAAATTGTTAAAGCACACAAAGCAAGCATGTACAAACAAACAAAAAAACAAAAAAAAGAAAAAAGAAAGAAAGAAAGAAAGAAAGGGATATTTACTATCCCTGTTATGAAGTTTAAAAAGCCGCGCGAGAGAAAACCAAAGGACAAAGGGTACACGAGAGAAGGGGGGAAATAAAAGGGGGGTGAACTAAGCGCGAGAGGAGAGTAACGGAAGTATGAAGACTTACAGAATGAAGCGATTGATAAAAAACCACACCACAACCACGGTGGCGAGAAGGACGGAGAGGAAATAAGAAGAAGAAAAAGGGAGAGAGGGAGAGAGAGAGGAGCGGGGGGGGGGGGGGGGGGGTAAAGGGGGGAGGAAACCATCCAAAAATGGGGGGGGGAAGCCGCAAGAAGCTGGGGTGTTGGGGTAACTAAATACCAATCCCCCAAGGGAAAGGCAGAGGTAAAAATAATAAAAATAAATAAAAATAAAAAAAAGGAAAGGAAAGAAAAACAAGGTAAATTAATTGATCGAATAAAATAAAATAAAAACGGATACCGGCCAACTAGGCGTAGACCCGGGGATAGATAGGATAGGTCGCAAAAGGGCAGAAGAAGGATCACAGAGCAGACTGTGGGGAATTAAATGCCGTACGTAATTCTGCGCAAAATATCGAGTCGGAGAGGGTTGAGCAAGAGGGACTGGACTAGTAGGGTATGTATGTATATAAATGTTATTACGATGGCGACAGGTCGGTTGCAATCGTTTTTTTTTTTCTTTTTTTTTTGTTGTTAGGGGAAGAAGATTGAGACCGCGAAACTATCAATCACATGCTTCCAGGGAGGCAAAAGAGGAGGAGGCAAAAAAAAAAAAAAAAAAAAAAAAAAAAAAAGGATGAGCATTCATGCAATATCACCGCGGTTGATTTCAACGGCACTAGAACTGACCCTGACGCGATGCGAATCAGCGATGTGCTACTTTGGCTCTTGGCTAACCAAGTATGCTAGCTAGTATGCTAGCTAGTGGATGCGGGGAGGGAAGACATGACAACACTAGCGGGTAGCCGACGGAGGGAGGGAGCAAGAAGATGGAATTGTTCGGTTTGGATATAATCGTGTCATGCCATGACGTTGCTTGCAAAGTTGCGCTCGTGAGGTTTCTACATATCTAAAGGAGGCAACCATATGATGGGGAGAGAGTTTTCAACACATTTCTGGCTGTGTATGAAAAAAAGACAACGGGGATTACCAGTCTAGTCTGGGTAGTTCAGGAGGCTTGCTGTTCTCGGAACAATACGCCGCAGATAATCTCTAGAAATAGGGAGGCCTTCATCTCACTGCTCTCTCACGAGTAACGAAGTTACTGGCCATGTTCAGCCTGTGAGGCTATGATTGACCCGGGATAGCCAGCTCTGGTTGCAGGGGGGGGGGATACCAGTACCATCAGTGCAAGTACCTGGTACATGTACATGTATGTACATATACATATACTCTGTACATATACTCCGTACTCTGTACAGACAGAATTTCCTCAAACCGCAACAATCTTAGCTATACGCGAACTTCCCCGCCGGCTACCCGAGTCAGGCAAGAGGAATCACGAATCTTTCCCATGGCGGCGAGTTGGCGTTTGTCTGGAGTTGGCTCGGCGGGGCAAGAGCTGCTTCGCCTACAGTAGTTAACTTATAGTTACTACTGTGCGTACTTCCATGCTACAGCGTACTACTGCGTACGCCGTAACTTGTAAGTGGCCCCGAGGTTTAGCCCAGATTTTCGCCCAGTTGGCCCAGTTGGCCCAGTTGGCCCAGGTTGGGGATGGTCACGGGCTGCAGGTGGGGCCAATCAAGGCCAATCAAGGCCAGGCAGGGGCCAGGCAGGGTGCTGCAATTTGGAGCAAAATCCTCCTCCTCCCCAGTGGTGGCTAGTAGGAGACCAGCTAGGAGGAAAGATGTACCCAGTACCTGCACATGAAGTAACCACCGCCTTTCTTTTCTCGGGTTCCAATTGTCGTGTTTCTTCACATGACATACATGTCTTGTCTGGCAGGGAGTCAGGGGAGAAAATACAGAAATAGAGAAGTAGAGAAATACAGAAATATAGAAATATAGAAGTAGAGAAATAGAGAAATAGAGAAATAGAGAAATAGAGAAATAGAGAAATAGAGAAATAGAAAAATAGAGAAATAGAGAAATAGAGAAATAGAGAAATAGAGAAATAAACCGTTGAAGCCGTTTCAGCCATTCTAAAGTTTATGTGAAGCCCTTTGATAATTAAGTTTTCTCTGGAATTTTGTGCAGGCAAAAAAAAAAGTGTCATCTCAAACAGAGACATCTCTAACATTTGAATGCTTCCCTCGTATCGCCTCGGGCAAGACGGCCCACATGCAGCAAAACATTGTCCTTGCTGAGCAGTGAAGTAGTGAGGACGGCTTGCTGGGTTGCCATCTGGGGGCGGGCTTCCAATTATTCCCACTAAAAGAAATGCTTAACTAGTTTCGAAGCTAACTTAGTTACTGTAGGGTAGCAGCCAATTACAGCCAGAAAAGGCCCGCCGCAAGCTCTGACTGAAAACTAACCCGCCAAAGTCCAAGTGCCGCAGCCTCCGTCATTATTCCTGATATTCGATATTCAGGTCGCCTTGCGCAGTTATAACCTTCTGTGTGGTTTTTAGCAGTGGGGGCAACAGAGCAAAGAGGCAAGAAAAACCTGGCGAGTTATTCCATTTCATTGGAGATCTAGAAGAACCGCCCATGAAGCAAACCTTTCACATTTCTTGTTATCATTCTGCGCTTTTTTTTTTTTTTTTTTTTTTTTTTTTTTTTGACCTCAACATTAAGGTTTTGAATCGGGCCCCTCCAATTTCGTCATCACGATGGGAAAAGTATAGAGTAGGCTTGAGACAGACAAACAAGTCATTGTTGAGCTCTTTCGCGCCCATTGGCATGCATTGTGCTTTGGATTTGAAGTCGAGCGGGAAGGATTCGTATGCGGGTTATGATAATTAGTTAACTATTAACTTACTCTTCAATATTAACAATAGAACACAGGTTGCCCATGTGGAGCGCGATGTATCACCCCTCAGTAGCTATCATCATCGTGACCACCACACCATGGCACTCATGCTGACACATCAGCTCAGTTCCCAGATCCTCGTACCCCTTTTTATCAATCAATGAGCACAAGCAGTTCAGGCCGGAAGCGACGTGCGGGGTCTGCTCCAGATAGCGACAATAAGACCACTACGAAGACTCATTGATCCCTTGCGTCAACCGATTACGGCGCCTTTTCTTTCTAGACGGCGGACGGTGGAAGAAACAAAATTTCAACCTATCCCAGAACATGATTGGAACACTTCAGCAAGCACAGGATAACTCAGATGCTGTAAACTAGTAAAGATTCTGCGTATTGATAGCATGAATTGCTCTTTGTTTTGTCTTTTAATATAGCATCTTTGACGAAGAAATTGATTTTCTGGAAAGTCATACGGGGTGTACTTATGAGATTGTTGGAATGCCGCAAGGCCCAAAAAAGTTATATGATCCTACATTGAGGCGATGATAGTTGAGCTCTAATTGAATAGAATGTCCACTCCACTTAGACAGCTTACTAAATCGCTAGATGATCACAAGGATATATAAGCCCCAGCAAATATTTCATGAAAAAAGATGGGAATAAGTTTGAACACTAATAAATATCTAGAGGTGGCCGCAGTCCAAAGGTATATTGGTTTTCAGGAGCTTTTTAATGGACGTTATGGACCCTCTGAGACCGGTAATCGCAAAAAAAACTTAGGGCTACTTGGGTGTTTGGGCGGGAATTCGGGTCATTTGTATGGGTGATGCAAGCGGATGCAGTGGAAATACCCAGCATCCTCACAGAATGCTGTCCCCAAACGAATTTCCCTCCTCACCAGATTCTATAGCACATCCCGGAGTTTGGATGCCAAGTCAAAGATGAAAACGATAACAGCCACACCAGGGCAATGTTTAGCGATGTCGACGGAGACAATCTGCCACAAAATTGTTGAAAATATTGATAGGAACGAGGCCCAAGTTTTTTTTTTTTTTTAAAAAAAAAAAAAATAAAATAAAATTACAGAGTCGCCATCCTGAGCCACCAGACCCTATGTTCATGGTTTGGACTTTTAAAAACTATGGCCCCTTCAATGATCTACCAATATTTCCATCAATCATTGAATGCTATTCCTCACACTGCAGTACTGAAAGGTTATCGCACCATCTCCGCAAGTGCATTCCTATCCCAATGCAGAGAAAATTGGCTAGGTGCAATAGTAGAGATAAGTCTCAGCAATCTCGCCTCGTGCATGATCAGCTTCCTGTAAGAAGAAAGTTATGGTCCTGGTTAGTGTTTGACTATGACCTAAGTTGCTGTAAACAGTAGACACTCACTAGTGAATCTGCAAGTTGAGACACCATTAGCTCTTCATCCTCAATAAATCCTCATTGTCTCTCAGTAAGGCTATCTGCGTGATAGGTCTGAGCTCTGTCAAAGTCCAACCAGACCACTCTTTCAGGGTCATTCCTGACAATCATCATGTTCCTCGGTTTGGCGTCGCAATGCAGAACCAATGCTCTGTGAATCTCTTGGATGCCACGGATCAAAGCCTCTCCCCGCTCCTTTGTAAAATTGTGAGGATAGATCATCTCCATTTTTGGAATATACTCCAAGAGGATGGCACTAGGAGGATTCTTGTCATTAAGAAACATCTTCAGGTGAGGTTGATAGTGTGATAAGTCCATCTGTTCCATTGTCCCATAGAACTGAGGCACAATTCCGCGGTTGCAAAGGCCGTGCTTCATTAGTTGTCTGTAGGCAGTTGATTCGCAGATGTGAAGGTTTGTTTCGCGCTCAGGAGATGCGGGCTGGACTGGCCCATTGTCATGATGCTGTCTCAAATGTTAGAATGAACTGTTGTTTTGAAAAGCCTAAGGATACACAGACCACTTTCATTACACATATCTTGTTACGAATATGAACAAGGAATATTTCTGAGAATTCTGAGCTGAAAAGTTTTCGCTTAAATGTTATCTCAGAGGGGTCAATGTCAGTAAAATCCATGCATGAGATGTTGTGTTTCAATCTTCAAGTTTGCTTTGTCCCCTTCAAAATTCGAGGTTTTGCGGGGAAAGGTTGAGCCTTAAGAGAGAAGAGAGCAGGGAATTGTTGGTGATTACTACACCTACCCTAGTCACGTGCCACCCCAACCTATCCATATTCATACGGGAAGAACGTATAGACTGGCCGCCGGGACCATGAATTTCACATTTGATCCCATTTGGTCTGGTCCTATACATTTCTTGGTGTGAATCCTGCTGAGACTAATCATTAAATAAATATGTAAAGTGACTATATATCAGATCTCAAAATGAAATCATAACTTGAAAAAAATGAGAAAGTGATTTTATTTAATCTTATTTAATTTCATTCTTAGTATAAAGTTACTATTTTTATAGACTATTTTTAATTTTTTAAAAAGTAATACTTTTTAATAATACTTAAATAAGATTTAAAGTCATTTAAAGTAATAAAAATAATTTAAATTAAGAAGTAAAAATCATAATCTCATTTAAAAAATGTAATAAGAGTAGATAGTAAGTCTTACTAAGACAGTATAAGACTACTATTTAATGTTAAAACTGTGTAATGAGATCTGTTAAATTGATAATGAAACTATTAAAAATTCTGATTCTGATCTTAAAAACAGTTACACAGTCAGTCTAACTGAATATAGACTTATTATACAACTGAATTATAATTGTTCCACCGTGTTAATCAGTGACACGGCTGCTGAACTGTAAATCATAGTATAATAATAAATGAACTGTGAAATCACAGTAAATAGAGTATGAACAGAAAAAAATCATTATTATATTAACAGTGTCACTGATTTCTATCTATATAATCACTAATTATTAAAAATATCTCATTCACTGAAATTATTCTCTATTGAAAATTAATTATATCTCTACTTAATTTCTTCTGAAGTATCTGAATTAGTCTTTATTTTCAGTCATAATCTTATTATCAATTATCTTATTGAATCTGTGAATTAAGATTAAAGTTTCTGAACTAGTTATTATCTGAGAAGTACTGTCATGAGTTATATATCATTTGAAAGTGAGAATTTTAAGATGATTAATGTAAGAAGCCTACGCTGAATAGATCAGTATAATATTGATAGATCTTATATAATAAAGATAAAAATGTTAAAGAAGAAAGGAAAGAGAAAGTGTGAGAATCAGCAATTGAGATGAATATTTATATATGTATGTAATGAAGCTTCGGGGCGGAAGAATATACATATGTTTATAGCAGCTAAGGATCAGTGATCAAGAATGACTGAGAATCAGAGTATACATATTCATAACAGCTGAGAATCAGTGATCAAGAATGGCTGAGAATCAGAGTGTATATAAAATCTGTGAAGTGTAACAGAATAGTCTATATAATTGATCAGGCATAGTCTGTCATATTAGTCTCTTCTTTTCAGAAGCAGTTCTTATCAGTCAAGAGTCACTGTTTTAAATAATACAGAACTCAGAGTTCAGATCAGTTGATTATAGCTGACTCATTTCACAAGATACTATCAGCTGCAGTTATATAATCTCTCATTGAGAATTTCTTCAATCTCTTACTCAAGTTCATTATCTTCTTCTACAATCTCTGACAGTTGTCAGTCAGAAGTCAGTTGAGAAGAAAACAGATTGATGACAGTATGATGAAGCAAGCTTATATGAAATATATTATGAATCTCTGATGATGTGTTAAGACAGTAGTTGTGACTATCTAGAACTTCTATTACTTTATATCTAATATAACAGTAATCTAGTGTACAGAATGAATATGTGATTTATATATTCTTAAGATTCAATCATATCAGATCTTCTATCTTATATTATTCAATGAGATCTCAGTGAATATTGATTTGATTCTCTTAATCTTATTTCACAGTTATCATGAAGATCTCTGCTTAATCACAGATATCTCAGAGCTTTATTACTATATTATCAGCAATCTGAATTGAACTGCAGAGATTCAGTGTGAACTGTGTAATCTCTAGAAGATTCAACACTTTCATGTGATATTCATATGTAAGAAAGAACAGGCTTATATCTGTTGAAATAGCATCTCAATCATTAATAGCAACCTCTGTATGTAGAAAAAGATCATGTCAATTATCTTATAAGTAGTTACAGAACTTATAAAGATAATTCTTTACAGTCTGAATTGTCTGTTTCAATGCATTATCAGTCTTGAGATGATAGACAGTTGACAGACAGTGTGTAATCTTGAGAACTTGACAGATTCTAGTTCAGAGAGTACTCATGAATTAATAGTCTTAATTCAATACTATGAATCTCAGCAATTCATATATCTGATAGAATAAGCTCTGTAGAAAGACTTCAGTAACTTGTTTAATATTCATCTTATTATAAGATTTTAATATTATATCTTTGCTCAATTAATTCACAATGATCAGAATGTTTCTATAACTCTTACTCTTAGATAGATTGACAGTGAAGTTAATTATTACATCTTATCAGATTCTATCAGAAATATCAAGTGATTTCAGTAGATCTTTTCTATAATTCTTTCATAAGATAATAGAAGAACAGTGATTACAGTTTCAGATAAAGTATCTGATACTGTTTAATATCTTAGATTAATAGAATTCTCAGAAGATTATTCTATACAGTTATTCACAGTCTGAATAATCAGTTATATATAAATCATGCATCTCTTGCATTATTCAGATACATAAGAATTCAGAGTGAGAGACTCAGCATTGTTTATAAAATCATAGAGCATTATTATTATTAATTGAATATTCTGAGATGTTAATTCTTACTTGTAATTCTGAGAGAAATCAGAGTACTTCTTGTCATACTGCTTGTGGCGGGCTGCGCCCGATCAATCATATAGACTATTCCATTACACTCCATAGATTCTTTCATTCCCGATCCGATCCGCGGCTGCTACGAACGCATACACTCCAATTCTCGGCCATTCCCGATCGCCGATCCGCGGCCGCTACAAACGCGCGTATATTCTTCCACCCTGAAGCTCCACCACATACACCACCACATACGCGTATAAATATTCACCTCAATCACTGATTCTCACACTTTCTCTTTCTTTTCTTCTCTAATGTTTTTATCTTTGTTATATAAGACCTATTCATTATACTGATCTATTCAGTGTAGGCCTCTTACACTATAAAAATGTTCATTGTCTTCTTATTAGAAAATAATTATTCACATATTATCTTCTCATCAGAAATGATTATTCATTGAGAGATATTCAAATATGTAACAACACATAAGAAACAGTCACACAGTTAAGTAAACACTGAGTTCTTAGATAGAAGCTTGCTCATCAGTCACTCTGACCTTATAATAAGATTTTATAAGAGAATGTCAGTGAAAGACCTGAGAGTTCTAACACTCAGATATATAAGAATACAATTACACTTCTTCAGATTTCATAGATATTATACATCTGATAATTGATATAATCATGTCTAACAATAATATGAAACTCTTGAACATGAGTATAGATGTAGTATCACAGTGACTCTGAGTAATATTAGAACTATAATAACAATAAATAACTGATATGCATGTAACTTAATAACATTAATATAAAGAGATTCAATAATTATTATAACAAGAAACTTATGCAATTTCAGCATCTATAGAATTAAATATAAAAGCACTGAAAGAATGCTTAAATACTCTTATATATTTTGATACTTCTGATCTCACTCTCTACTCATTATAAAGAATGAAAATGCTTATGAAACTGAGTGTAGATGAAGATTTCATCAGTTTATTAATCAATCAAGATTGATATATCAATGAACAATTGAAGAATCATGTAAAACAGAAGTTTTATTCATGAATGAAAGCATGTGAATCAGTGTTACAAATATCTGATAATATTATAAAATATCTTGATATTCTGTTCTAAGACACTACTATGCAATAGAAAGTATTAGATTGATTACAGAGTATCTGACAGAGAAACACTTCTCTTACAACATTTATCTCTGACTTCAACATCAAGATTCTAGAAGCAGAAGATCAGTCTTGAGAGAATTGAATGAAGATTAACATGCTCAAGAAGACATTAACTTTCAAACTCTTACAGATTCTTGTAAGTATAGATAAAGACTCAACTTATAAAGACTTCTGCACACAGCTCTGAACAATGAATGATCATTTTATCAAGCTTAAGAATATACAGAACAGTGATAGAAGATGTTACATCTCAGTGACTTATACATCTATGCTGAGAAATAACAATGATACAGATGTTATGAATTGAGTAGACTTGAATGTCTATGTATAAGCAAGAGTCTCTGCTGTCTGAACAGACTTCTAAGTTTCTGAAATCACTTCTGAAGAAGTCACTGATCAATGTCAATATAGAGTATACATCAACTGTAACTGATCAGAACACATTGCTTTCAACTGCTGATTAATCTATATATCTTCATATTCAAGAGAAGAATCAGTGTCTTCTTATTCAAAGAATGAATCAGTGTCTGTCCACATCAATTATATTGCATTAGAGAAAGATTCAGAGAATAACTATAAAAATGTCTCAGTGAAACAGAGAAAAGATTAACTTCTATTCAAACTTATAAACAGAAGTTTGAAGAGGCTGAATGACAATAATTTGAAGAGAAGATAACAATGAATGCAATTCTTGTATTCACTATGATTAATAATATGTATAATATGAAGATTATAATAGACAGTGATCTATACTACTATACAATAATAAAATCTTCAGTTGTAAGATATCATAATCTTCAGTATATCTCTCTATCAAAACCTCAACTTCTCACAGAATTTGATGATTCAAAAGACATTTGTATCTGTTATATGATGAAGCTGATCATAGATGTAGAAGAACATCAATATGAAGATATCTATATATATGAAGTTGATAATCTTGATTATAATCTTATATTAGAACTTGCCTGGCTATCTGAATAAGACATCTTATTAAATACTTGAAACAGAAGCTTGATATTCTCTAACAATGATAGAGTTCATGAAAATAACATTCACAAGATCATGAATCTGATACAGATCTCTGTCAACATGTATAAAATACTCTGA